AATCAGAAAAATATTATTGAAATTAATTGCGAAAAATTGAAGAATCTATACAAAATTTAGTAAGTGAATTACAAATACTTAATGGTGTTTATTAAATGCAAGTTAAGTAATATCTAAATTACTACTATTTTTTAATTCGTGTAGTTTAAAAATTTAAAAACTCAAAATCTATTTCAAATATGTTTTCATCCTTTGCGCTCTGTATTCCTGAAAAATTTTGATCCTTCTGTCTGAACCACTGATTGAAAATTCGCAAATAATTTGTATGAAATGTTTCACGTTAGATATAAAAATAGAAGTATTCACTCACCATTCATTTAAGTCATTTTTCTCTACCACACTTCAACAGGTGGCTAGGCATTACGCCATTTTTCTTTACCAACGATAAAGCTGGGGATTAAAGGTATTAATTATGTCATCTTATTTTGCTTATATCATGTTTTTTTTTTGCATATGTATTTGCAGAGTTCAAATTTAATAATTGTTTCTAGTTGTGATAGTTACTTATGTATTCATAGGCATCTTGCTCTCTCCACGGAAAATCCACATTTGCTACTTTTTTCTGGTTCACAAATATTATATCTAGTCTTACCACTTGTCATTCATGATCTTAAAATCCCAGTTGTTTTTATGGATTTAAATCACATAACAGACCGTGGCCCGTGATTAATTAATTCGTTTATATGGTTAAACTGATGTCTTTTCAACAGACTCCAATGGATAATCTTACCCACCAAACCTTGACTATTTTATTATTTCTGGCTTAATGTCTTAAATTTGCTATTTTTTTTAATTCTCTGACCCCCTTATATTAAAAAAAAGCTTGTTTTTCTCTTTTTTCTCTTTTCTCGTCTCTCTTTATATGTATATATAGTTGTTTATTATTAGTAGTAGTATTAGTACTAGTACTATTTTAGTATTAGTAGTCGCAGTAGTGGTAGTAGTAGTAGATTCTGCAATTTTCCTGATTTACTAACTGAAATAACTCTTCATCAAACCTGAAAGCTTAGGTAAAGGCCGTATTTTCTAAGAAAGTTTTTGAGCATATTACATTGATTCTTCTTCTTCTTCGTCTTCTTCTTCTTCTGTTACTACTACTAACACTACTACTACTTATTCTTCTACCACTACTAACACTAGTGCTACTACTTCTTCTACTACTACTAATAATAATAATGATTCTTCTTCTACTACTAATACTACCACTACTACTAATACTTCTTCTTCTACTACTAATACTACCACTATAACTAATACTTCTTCTTCTTCTACAGTTACTACCACTATAACTAATACTTCTTCTTCTACTACTACCACTACAACTTATAATAATATTTCTTCCTCTGCTACTAATACTACCAGACAAATTCTACTACTACTCCTACTTCTACTAATACTACCATTACTACTACTACTTCTTCCTCTTCTTCTTCTACTACTACTACTACTACTAATAATAATAATAATCATAATAATAATGATTCTTCTTGTACAAGTACTACCAATACCACTAATACTTCTTCTTCTACTAATACTTCCACTATAACTAATACTTCTTTTTCTACTACCACCACTACAACTTCTTCTATTAATATTTCTTCCTCTGCTACTAATACTACAACTTCTACTACTACTACTACCATTACTACTTCTTTTACTACTACTACTGCCTCTACTACTTCTTGGCTACGACCACCACTACTACTACTATTACTTTTTCTACTATTACGAAAACTACTGCTACTTCTTCTTCTACTACTACCACCACTACTACTATTACTACTACTTCTGCTTCTTCTGCTACTACCACTACTACTACTTGTTTTTCTTATTATTCAACTTAATTATTTCCATTTTAAACATTGTTTTTTTCAACAAATGTACAATAATCATTAACTTAATAACATAATCTCGATTGTAATAATCAGCATCATGTTTAATACATCATCATCGCATTAATTACTAGTGCTAAAAATGTGTATGGCTTTCTTTAACGTTATACGAAAACACACATCTCCACATATTACCAGAGCAAACTAATCTCTACTTCCCTCTCCTCTGATCTCATTTTCTGACCCTGTTCATATCACACAAGAAGAATCAAACTTGATCTGACCTGTGTCATATGCTGAGTTGCTGGAATGAAAAGCAATATAATTTATACTTTAATTAACTCTCAAACTGACCGCATTCGAGAAAAGGAAATAAAGATGAATTACAATTCAAATTGAAAGAAAAATTGAAGAAAAAGTAAGATGTTCAGAAAAAAAAAAAAAATTTCGACATTTTTTAAATACTGACAAGCATTATGTCGATCCATTCCTCAAAATTCCAGGTTTTCATATATATTATCATATATTTAATCTCAATAGTTGAAATATTACCAAAATAATACTAGACATTTTAGTATGTCACTTTTGGATGTGGATTTATTATTCTTATGAACTATATGGGATTATATTTAATTCTACAATGATAATACCGATAATAGACAAAATAAGGACATGAGTCAAAAGAAATGATTTTTTTAACAATAATTGATATTTAATAATTGCATAGCTAAATATTAAATATGTTTATCTGATACAGATCAGAAACAATATGATGTAATCAAAATATATAAATGCAGAACAATGCTAAATATTTCATCAAATAATAATAATACTCGTCTTTCCCACACCAAAAGATATCAAATTAATTTAGTAGTCGAGCCTATCCAAATACTAATCCAATAGAATACTTGATGATCTTAAATGAAGAACACATATATGAGAATGTAAAACTATATGCAAGCAAGGAAAATCCGCAAGAAAAGTGTAGGTAAGTCGTCTAGTTTATCATATAAATATAAATGATTTACTTTGGTCAATAGGACAATG